TTTTTTTTTTTTTTTTTTGGATTACAAATGTCGTGAGATTTTTTAACAGGAGTGTGTGCGTGTGTATGTATGTAGAGTAGAGTAATATCTCGAAGAAGAGTATTTCGAAGGTGTTCTTAAATTTTTTTGGTCCTTTTTCTCGAGGAATTTCAGAGTCTAATCGTTGTAATGATTTCTTCGACATCGATCGATATAATTAAATTAATTGAATTCGCGCCATTTTTCGCGGAATGTAATTGTTACGATAATTAAATTATTACGATTGTATCGCGTGATGTGTAAATCAATCGATTGTACAATAATTGTACAAGATGTGTAGATACTATTGTCGAAAAAAGAAGAAAAAAAAAGAAATACGTTCCATATATCGAAAATTGAAAGTAAAGGAATTGTTATGTATTGTAAAAAAAAAAAAATCTCGTAGAAGCTCTAAGAAAAAAAAAAACTTTGTCGATTACTAGAGCTCTGTTCTCGTAGAATTTTGAAGAGGACTTGTAACAAGGAATATATATATATAAAAAAAAAATGAAATAAAATTCAGAAAAGATAACAAAAAAAAAAAAAAGTAAAAGAAGAAAATGGAATGGAGGAGGAAGAAAAATGTGTCAAAGGGAAAATTTCGTACGTTCAAAAATGTGAACGTGTAACGTTAACTGTCGCAGCCAATCATCGAGGCAATTCTGGAAATTATCGATACTCTTCGTTTGATCTCGTCAACGTTTGATACAATTTTTTATTAGAAAAAAAAAAAAACTTTCCCAATGAATGAACCTACAATTGTAGAGTAGAAAATTTCATTTTTCCTTTTTTGCGACGGTTAACGTAAAAAAAAAAAAAAGAAAAAAAAAAAACAAGGCGAAATGACAAGAAATAATAAATAAAATCCTATCTAACTCTGAATGTTTAAAAAAAAAAAAAAAACTGTCGTTTAAATTAAGCATCATCGAATCGAGAAGAAGAATGCTCGCGTGTTGAAACGAAAGAAAGAAAGGAAGAAAGAAAGAAAAGGAAGAGCAGGTTAGAAATTTACCGTTTCATTAACGTGGTCACGTGCAGAACGTTCTCGTCGTGTTTGAACTACCAAATACTTATTTAACGAGATTCAGACAAGTCTCTATAGTTTCGATCCGACTATAAATTTTTCTGCAAGCAGAAAACCGATTCTATTTGTACGAGAGCGAGGAAGAAGTTTCTTAAGAGAGCTTAGATCCGATTTTAATTGTGAACGTACAAAGGATTTCATCAAGCCCACTACTCGAAGTCGCGCATTAACAATATTGATTTATTTCTGAGATCGAAATAAGACGATATGAAACGTGTTACTTTTTCCTTTCTTTTTTTCCTTTTATTTAATATTTAATATTTCTTTCGTATTCTAAGCGTGTTTTTTTACGTTCGTACGAGAGATTTTCCTTAAGAGAGAATTGAATTTTGAAAATTGGTCTTATTTTGCGCTCGAGATAATCGTAGGCTTCGTGAAACATCCTTGTACGTCCATAGGACGATTACCACGGGAGAGTAGCACTATATCCTCGAACGTGATATAATAATTTATTTTTCTACAGTTTCAGTCGCCGAGTTATAATAAATAATAATAAATCGTAACCGAAGATGACTCGAGTACGTGAAAAGAAAAAAAAAAAAAGAAAAAAGAAAAAGAAAAAAAAAAGACGCGCACACGCGAGGGCGGGAAACACAAACGAGGATTGTGTTGGGACTTAATCCTTTCGTCGGTTTATAAATCGTTCAACACCCGATTTGTAATTCGCAACAAGTTTTTAAACTGGATAGTTGAGAAGAAAATAAATAAATAAATATAAAGAAAAAGAAAAAAAAAAAAGAAAAATAGTTCGAGTTCGAATGTTGTATTCGTATATATAAGCGTAGAAAAAAACAAAAAAAAAAAAAAAGTAATTCGTACTGTGATTTTTAAACGACATTATATTACCACAACCTGATCTAAATTTTAAATCCGAGAATATTTTCATTGCTTTTTTATATAAAACAGTCTTTTTCTAACGATACGTCTTTTCGCATACGTCGTT